AGATGGGCGGGGCATGCATAAATAAATAAATAAATAAATAAACAAACAAATAAATAAATAAATAAAAATACGTTCTTCCCAGTCGCATGGAAGAATGCAGGCAGTCCTGCGGTGTGCATTTTTATATATAAAATACATACTACAGGCCTTCCTACCTTCTTCCATGCGACTGGGAAGAACGTTAGGGGCCGCACACACCACCACCGGGTGCAAGGAGAGCAAACCGGACTGTCTTTTGCAATAGGTTTCCTTATACAGTAGTTAGGCTGACACTTTTTGCTCTTCCCCACAGAGTCCTCCTGTTCCAGTATGATCAATGGCAGAATGATTTCCACTGGCTCCCAAACAGAACCGTTCTGTATAATTTTCAGTGGATTCAACATAAGGTACTTTTAAATTAAAAGGTGAATACATATCTGTCCACTGATCAGGCAGTATATGTTAATGCTATTTGGTAATGCTGTTTATTTATTTATTTATTTATTTATTTAGCATGCAAACCAGTTTGCATTTCAGAAGAGCTGCCCTCCAAGCAGCGTATAGCAATAATCATCTTAGCATTGCAGAGCTGGAAGGGACACTTAACAAATCGCCCAGATGTGGATAGCAGCTAAACAGTTTGTTTCCTACAAATCAGTAAGTTTAATATACCACGATCTGGACTTTAGTTCACACAAATCTATGGAAGGCTCAGTCAGCTTCTGTGCCTGGAATCACATGTGACATCATCATCTTAGTCTTAGGTTTCCTTATGGTTAGGCTGACGCTTTTTGCTCTTACCCACAGAGTGCTCCTGTTCGAGTATGATCAATGGCAAAATGATTTCCACCGGCTCCCAAACAGAACTGTTCTGTATAATTTTCAGTGGGTTCAACATAAGGTACTTTTAAATTAAAATATGAATATCTGTCCACTGATCAGGCAGTATATGTAAAGCTGCCATTCTGCTTTGTTGATGGGTGGTCCTCCAGAATGTGGACTCCTGTTCTTATGAGCTGTAGCCAGCCTGACCAGCGAAAATGTATGATGAGAGTGGAAGCTTCTTGACATCTGGACCTCCCCAAGTTTCCCACCCAGAAGCATACAGCCAAGAGTTGTAAATCGAGGTACATAACATAGAGATGATGGGTTTGCTATTCACAGTTTATAGTTTCTGTTTAGATAGATAGGCATTTAGGTACTGTAGATAGGTATTCTTTGACGAGGCAGAGGCTTCTGAAGGGGTGTGGACAAGCTGAACCATTTCTCTACCCATTATGAGTCCTATAGAACAGGGGTCCCCAACCCCCAGTCCACAGCCTGGTGACGTGGGCTTCCCAGAACTGGGCCACAGGGATGGATCTCTGCCCCCCGCCTGCCTGCACAATGGGTGTGTTGCACTCGTGTGGGGGGCCCAGCATGGATGCCGCCCCTCCAATCAGTCCGTGGGGTTAAAAAAGGTTGCAGACCACTGCTATAGAAGATGCTTCAAAGACCTTGGATGTATTTACAGCATCAGTATCTGCTGGTTCTTTATTCATGGTCTGAAAATATTAAAAGAAAAATCCTAGAAATATATAGCTCTCAAGATGAACTTACTAGAACTGGCCACTAAAGAGAGACAGAGACGATCAATGTCTAGCTTTTGCTTTTCAAATGGCATTCGCCATTCCATGCTTTTCGGCATCCAGGGGAGGGGGGGCTTGGAACCGATCCCCCATGGATACGGGCCTCCTGCTGTTCTCTTCTTGAGATAAAGAGCACTGTCTTTGTAATGTAAGAGTAGAAACTTTCCTAAAGATTTTAATGAACTATAATCAAGTGGCAAAAGAAGAGGTTTCCTTCTGCGGGGGTGTGTGTGTGTGTGTAGATTTGCAGGTGCCTCTTTCGAATGCTGTTCTGCTGGGCAAGGATCAAAGGCGGGATGGGGGTTCTGTTTTGAAGAACTTTATGCTAGAAGGAGGCTCCTGGAACTTAGAGCAGTGGTTCCCAAACCTTTTCATCTCACAGCACCCTTGATTTACTGGCCGTCGGCCGGGGCTCCCTCAATACAAGACTGTTCCTGATAGCAGCTGAAGCAGCTTCCCTGAGCTAGGCTTGTTTATACCACTGTTTATTCCAAAACTGCATCAATTTAAATTTCTTCGCTTTCCAAATTTGTTTGCAGGATTAAAAGAAAACTATGAAGGTAAAAGGAGGCCACTGTAAACAAACCCAACTCCCTTCTCCAGGTAAAATTGAGCCTTCGTCTTGATTTTAATTAGAAATGGGTAAATCTGTGCCTTGCGCTTCCACTGAGCTTTTCATTTTCCTAACTCCAAGTTCATTTGGCCCACATTCGTGCAGTTTTCTTTTTGAGTCTGCATGAAAATATGTGTGTGTGTTTTCTAACAAGTGCACCAGTGTACGTTTTTGCTGTGTTGATTTCAGAACAGATGTAACCTGTGCAGGGGCTGCCAAGGGCCCCGGCATACAAGACTTTCCAGCAGAGTAGACAGAACCTTCAGTGACTCTTGACCTTGAGGTCTTTCTTCATTTTGGGAACTCCATTGGTCAGTTCCCCTTCTTGGGAAACCTCCGTGATAGCCATGTTGACACCTTTGAGGCCTCCCCCTGCCCCATGTTGTTACTGCAGATTAGCTTGGTTGCATTAACACTGCTCAGAATGTACAGTAGCTGCCAACCTTTAGGCTGAAGGAACCAGCTCAAGGCTTTGCCCCCCCCCCTCCCGTTGGGTTCTGCGATGGGTCGCTTAGATGACCAGGCCAAGAAGCGGATTGTGGAGTTGCGCAAAGCCGGTTTGAGTTTCCGCAAGATCAAAAAGGTGCTGGAGGTGGACAATATCCGCGTCACGCCGCAAGCTATCTACCTGTTCTTGAAGCGCAAGAATGTCCAGCCCAGCGCCCCCTCGTCCGGTTCCGATCCTCCGCCAGGCCTCAAGAAAGGAAGCAGAGATGCTGTCTTAGATCAGGTCAGCTGGGAGGAGGAGGAGGAGGATCAGTGCTGGAAGCTGCCCCCGGAAAATGAAGCTGGGCACGCCAGGCAAAGAGAGGATGATGTCTCCGCGGCAGGAGTCAGCCTGAGCTGTGAGATGCCACTTTGGCATGACAGCCGAGGTGATGAGGAAGGCATCAGAATCGTTGGGGTGGCTTCCTTGAACCAAGACGAAGGGCAGTTTGGAAGGCAGAGCGCTACACGTGGAGGCTTCTCCAAGGGATCGCAACCAGGCTCAAATACTGGTAAGGCTCACTTGCTTATTTATATTATAGGATGCATTCTTGTACTCTCTGCCACTGAGCTCAAGTCTGTGTTACATGGAGTTTTCCCATTTGCAAAAAAACTATTCTTGCGTACATTGTATAAATTCACGATAGCTGGAAACTCTCTCTTAATTTTTTTTGTTACTCGCCTTAATCTATAAGCAGTGTTAGGAAGAAATCGAGATGAAAAACATTCTGAAGTCAACAGACAGAAAGCCCTCCTGATGCTGGGACTCATTTTGGAGGCAGCTTCCCTTCCTTCTCCCGTTTTCCTTTCCTAGGTGGCAGCTGCCCAGTGCGAAAGGACTCGGGCAGCGACTTTGCTCCTGTTGCACCTGCAGGCGCTCAGCCGAACATGAATGGCAAAGGAACGCTGTTTCTGCCACCTGCCAGGAATCCTGCCTTGATCTGGAAGAGAAAGATAGTAGGCCGGGCCATCCATCTGCAGAAAAAGGTAGGAAATGGAGAGAGAGGGGGGAAAAAACATTCCCCCCCCCTGAGTTGTTGGGATGCTTAACAAGTTTTTATTTCATTTGGAAGTGACTGGCCAGATCCTGTTTCTTTTAAAAGGCCTTGTAAACTTTAATAAACGCGCATTAATGGGCAAATTAGGATATCCTGCACACGACCCCAAAGATGCCTTGACAAGGTGCCATTTGCATCCAGGGTCTGTAGACTTGGGTGGGTGGGGTGGATTGTTATGAGAGGTGTGTGCAACTCTCCAAAATTCAGAGGGGAGGGAGAATATCCCCCCCAGCCCCTTGGAAGAAGCAGGCTCCCAATCGATATCCTGTCATGGCTCACGACGGTACCTTTTTATGGGGAAGAGATTGAGAAGTTTGCTAACTCTACTGTACACCTCAAGCAGGAGAAGAGGTAGATCATTTAGCTGCAGAATTATCTCCCCTTCTCCCCGCAGCTCAGCTATACGTGGGCTTTAGGGTTAAATGCAAGTCATGAGATTGTGTAGCTGGCCATACATTAAAGAAAAGTCTTCCATGTAGAAGACATGGTCTAGAGGGGCAGGGTAAAAATCCAATAAATAAATAAATAACTGTGACTAGACAGTTACCCCGCATGACAGTTTTTTCGCTAAACATTGACTTTTTGCAATCACTATAGTGATTTGCAAAACTGATTCCTATGGGGGAATTTCGCTGGACAATGTTTGGTCCCTGCTTTGCAAACTGATTTTCACTAGATGACGATTTGCTTTTCGCTAGACAATGATTTTGCTAAACAGTGATTTCAGTGGAACGGATTATCATCATCTAGCGAGGCACCACTGTAAAATAAATTATTATTTCTATTTCTATATCCCATTTTTTTCCTCCAAGGAGTTAAACATCATCCTTACCTTCCTTGAGTGGCTAAGTCACCCAGTGGATTTCATGGAACGATGCTAGTCCATAAGACGTTTTACATCCTGTTTTATTTTTCCTTAATGCCCATGAACCCTCTTGCAATCCAAAGTAGATACAGATTTACCACCTCAGTGATATTTACGCCCTAAGTCTTGAGGAGAAAAATGAGAAAGGTTAACTCTGTCCCTGAGCTGCTCCTTTTGGATTTTTTTTACATCATCACCAAGTTTTAAATTTGCAGATTTTATATCCCTCACCCAGGTTTTCTCCAATCTCTTTTCCCAACAGCCAGTCAAGGAGGGAATTTTTCTCAAGACGTGTCCTTTCAGCAAGATACTTCCTGAGATTTCTTCTCCTCCTCCTTTTTCTCCTTCTTTATTGTTACGTGGGCTGCTTCCCTGACAGGCAGAACATCCTCAGATGAGCCCTCATTTTAGTTTCCTACAGTGTTGTGGGGAATTAACATGACATCAGGATATTGTAGGAAATTGGGGGCCCCTCCATCTCCACCGGCAGCCCCCACCCCGGTTGGAGGGGGCATCCTCTTTCCTAGAGTGCCTTAGAGTTAATGACCCCAGAGTCCCTTGGAATCGGGGGCTCTGGGGGAAATTAAATTAAAATGGTGGCTCAGTGTCACCACTGAGGGCTGCTCTGTGGGGATGCCGGCAGGTCCGTTGAAGGAGGGAGAGAGCCTGGCTTGACGTGAGGTCTATTTACAGACTCCTTCCAAAGAACAGCTCCAAATCTCGGACAGAAGACAAACGTCGGCAGCCTATTTTCTGTTAAGCGTCAGGCAGGCAAGACTCTGGCCTGACTCAGAAAGCCTAGTTTGAGGTCATAATTCTTCTGTCGGTGCTAATCCTTCCTCCTCGTCGATTAGGCAAGTGGGCACGCTCCGTCCAGTTCTCCTCTCAGCCTGCCTTCGGCGCCGAGGGTGCAGCCAGCGGCTCCTCGTTCCAGGGCGACTGTGCCTGCGACGACAGCATCGCTTGGCTGCGGCGCGCAAGTAAGTGGCGTGTGATGGGCGTCCCTCTGTGCCAGTCCGTCTCAGACTGGAACATCATGTCCTGGGGTAGAGGAAGAGGTTTGGCGAGACCTTAGCGCAGTGATGGCGAACCTATAGTACGCGTGCCACAGGTGGCACGCCAAGCCCTTTCTTCTGGCACGCAACGAGTTAGTGGCCCTCTCACCCACCCTTGTGGATAGAAACCTTTTGAAGTGGCTGCAGCCAGGATTCCCCCTTTCTCTTCCTGTTCTGCGTCCGTTGCCAGGATTCCCCCTTTCTCTTCCTGTTCTGCGTCCGTTGCCAGGATTCCCCCTTTCTCTTCCTGTTCTGTGTCTGTTGCCATGATTCCCCCTGCTACTGCCACTTCCGGTTCTGGTCTTCCGGGTGGCACGACAGCCACTGGTTTCTCTCCCCCACACACACACTCATTTTGGGCACGCGAGCCCAAAAAGGTTTGCCGTCACTGCTTTAGCGTCTAGTAGAGGAAAGTCTGAAAGAACTGGGCCTGTTTAGCCTTGAGAAAAGACGGAGGGGAGACAGGATAGCACTTTTCAAATACTTGAAAAGGAGGGTCAGGATCATCCCAGAGTGCAGGACATCTAATAATGGGCTCAAGCTACAGGAAGCGATTTTTTCCAATAGGGAACTTCGCAAAGCGATCGCAAAAACTTAATCGCTATGCGATTTTGTCGTTAACCAGGGCGCCTGTTAAGCGAGGCACCACTGTACACATTCTCAAGGGCTGACCACTAGATGGAACCAGAGACTATACAGGTGGCTTCAGGGAAATGAACTTGTGGCCTGGTGTCTCAGGGAAGCTGCATTTTGGGGTCGGGGGAGCAGTAGTTGCTGGTTTCCGGGAAGGCTCCCTTGAGAACAGAAGAGCAGGAAACCCAATCCTTTGGCAAGTCTGGGCCGGGGGTTCCCTCTCTCAACCGTGCACGGACAGCAAAGCACCTGGAAGTGCTTCACTTATCCGCTGTTTCCAACATCAGCGGAGGGATTTGGACTGATCCCCTGTGGATACCGCGGGCCTGCGGTACAAATAAATAATGATGGTTAATGACCAAAAATCATCGTCATTTTTATAACGCCGTTTTCATGACCCTGCATTTCTTTATGTCGTTTTTGAGTCGTTTCATTTAAAAAAGCAACCCGTGTAACATTAATCCGTTAAACTCAATATATTATTTCTAAGCTGTGGGCAAGTTGTTTGCCCTCCCTTCCCCTAACATTTATTGTGCTGAACGGGGTTGAGAAGAGTTGTAGGTGTCTCTAATACTGTCCTATTCCTTTTTGTTGTATTTGCCTTCTCCCCACCTCCTTCGCAACCCCAGAGCAAAGACGCGAGCGCTCAGACGTCCGCGTGGATCCCCACCTGCTCTACAGGCCACCCCAGCGCTCAGTGGGGAAGTCCGGTGGCCGTCCCTTCGCTCTCCCCTGCCAGCCCTCATCCTTTCGCAGAGAAACTGGATGCCGTGCACGCTGAGGTCCAGAAGCTCACGCAAGCTGTGCATATGGTGTTGGAGCGCCAGTGTCAGCTCGAGCGCCAACAGGAGCAGCAGCAGCGTTTCCAGCAGGAGGTGCTCGTGACGTTGCAGCAGCTGAGCTCCATGATCAGCCACCTGGCCGTGCCAAACAACGTCACGTGTGCCCCTTACAGCAGTATATCTGAACCATCTCCTCCTTTGCCAAACTTCAGCCAGTTCAAGATGGAATTTATCTGATTATTTGGCTAGAGCCGTGGAGAACGCAAAGGGGCCCTTGGAGTGGTCCATAGTTACCTCCTGGTGGGTGCACTCTGGCCATGCCTAGAGGAGATGCTGCTCCAGGATCTACTCTAAGCCCACCCCAATTCTGCTAAAATAAGTTGTCTTCCAGCCTCTGGCCTGGTTGGATGCTCTATAACTCAAGCAGGGAAGTAGGGAATGATGTGCAAGCTTGAACTTACTTGCGCATCACCTGTGTCTTAGAGGGGATATTTTACACATATTACAAGGGAGGCTTTTAGTTGCATTGTAGTGAATACGGGACAGGGAGCAAAGCAACAGAGCTAATGCCAGCTTCCAAAAGGAGAGCAGTCGCCCTCTGGTCCAAAGTGGGCAGAAACGTGCCTTTGTAAGAGTGAACTCTTGTCGGACGAGTCCTCTTGACAGTGTGATGGAAGAGTTAGAATATTGGACTTTGGAGACCCGTGTGCGGGTTCTAATTAAACCATGACATTCACGGTTTTTCAGGCAATCCTACAGGGATGTAAAGTCAGGAGGAGGGCCATCAGCAGATTGAAGGAAAGGTGGACTATGACCCTTGCTGCTCCAGTTTGCCCATTGGAGCGCTGGGTTTCTTCACCCACCTGCATACCTGGAAGGTTATGTTAGCTTTGTTTTGCATCTAAAGGAAAGGTGTGAAGGCAGGGAAACATTGTCATCAGCATCATTTTGTAAGCACTGTTTTGCAGGGCAGTGAGAAAAGCAGGCTAAAACCCCTGTGATGATGATGAGTCCCCCCTCCAGATCCCCAAGGGAACGGCAGGTATAGCTGTGGACTCGTTCTTTTGCTGGAGATTGTGCAAACATTCGGATCTTTCTTTCTCAGGGCTTGAGATTCCACCACTCGCAATAAATTGTCTGTTTGTATACACTGTGCCTACTCTTCCATCAAATGCTTGGGTGTATATTTTTCTGCCTGTCATGCTGTGAGACTCTGTGTTGGGACCATGCGATCGCTATGGATCAGGGTTGCTCCCCAAACCCACTGGATTTGTCCGCTACCGAATTTGCCCCTGAAATTCGGCAGTGTGGCAGCCAAGAAAGCCATCCATCTTATTAGTGGGAAACGGAAGCCGCCTTCTGTGGCCCATGGAAGTGAGGGTGGGTGGCACAGCGGTCTGGGCGTTACTCACCCTTATGCGTCTGGACATGAGGGCCTTCCCTTTTCCTTGCTGATAGAAAAGGCTGAGTCACGGCAGGGAAGCGCCTGGGTTTTGCTGGACTCAGTGCCCAGAACATGAGGAAGGATGATGGATGTTATAACACCTGGAGGGTCATTGTTTTCTGAGACCTGATCTAAGTGCTTAACCCATGAATTCTATGGCAGACATCCCTAATCTTGTCTCGCATTAGATGTTTTCAACGACACTTCCCATAATTCCTGGCTCTCATATATGCTGCTTGGACGTGCTGGGAATTGTAAGACAAACCATCCAGAATGCACCAGGTGGAGGAAGGATGTTTTTCCCCACATTCCTGTTTGTGAATCAAATTTATCACCCAGACCCCTTTCATGGGCGATAAGGTTAGGCTTAGAACAGTCGAGGACAAAGCAGAAAGCGCCCAGGGGAGTGAAGAAGCAGATTTCAGACATACTTTTATACCTGTCCTACTAAAGATGGAAAGGGAAAGATCATAATAAATAAATCCATGGCTTTGACGTGGGCAGTGTTACATTCCCTGGTCATCCGCGCCAGGTGTCTTGAGCTGCCATACTTGAGATAGTTCTGTTGCTCCTCAGCGGTTCCAGATTTAGCCTTTTCCTGGCAGGGTTAGATGTCCGCCATAATTTCACAACGGTCGTTCATCTCAATGGTGTTGTAATTATGAGGCCGTCTGGAGTGGTGGGGGGGGAAGAAAAGAGGGGAGGAAACCAATTACAGTCAGTGACATGACTTGCATTTAACTTGGCAGAAAGGGGAAGATTTAAAGCAGCTAATCTGTTTTGCAGCTCCTCCCTTTGTGTACAATCCTTCCGTTATTTACTGACACAGGAATATTGTAATATGGACAATAAACCCTATAGCGGTCAAATGGCAAAGACTGAGAGTAGAAGGGCCAGGGCCAAGTGTGGAACGCGTTCTTAGAGCCAGCCCTACTATGAGGCAGGAGGAGGCAGCTGCCTCGAGGCAAATATTGTGTGTGTGTGTGTGTGTGTACAGCTGCCTCCAGAGGCAAATGTGTGTGTGTGTGTGTAGGGGGGGGCAGAATGTTGGAAAGATGTTGGAGGACAAAGTGGGTACGCATTCCACACAATGTCTGGACAGCTGAGGGGTTGCGGTCTCTGGCCAAGGAGCCAGAGGTTGGGAGCTGGATTCCGCCACTGGGCCTCCTGGACAGGGGTCAGACTGGATGATCGAGAGGGTCCCTTCCAGCCCTGGAGTTCTAAGATGATTAAAGAAGCAGAACTGCCTTTGGCTCTATTGGCGGGTGTCCAGCATAATTAAAAGGGCGGTCCCGGAGTTCTAAGAAGCAGAACTGCCTTTGGCTCTATTAGCGGGTGTCCAGCATAATTAAAAGGGCGGTAGGAAATGCTGTCTGGTCACCATCCTGCCACCCGTCTGCTTGGCTTGGCTTGTGGTCTCGCTCCCTGACTTCGGCAGCAGACAGTCTTGGGAAGGCAGAGAAGGTGGGCCAGGGACCCCCTTCCCGATGCATCAAAGGGCCCTGAAAGATGCTGCTTCTCTTCCTTCCGTTCCTTTTTGGCTGGAACTTCATACCCTTGCGGTTAGGGAAGGAGGACAATGGGAGTTACCCTCCCGGGAGATGTGCTAGGTACCAAAGCCCGCAAGAGTTACTTTTAGAGATGGTGAGCCCCAGAATACAGTCTGAAAAGTGAGTTCAAAGTTCTGATTATCATCATCCTGTAAAACCCTGCTTTGGGCCATTGTGAGTCATTACACAGGCAGCTGCAGAAGGTGGGCCAGGGACCCCCTTCCCTATACATTCAAGGGCTGCTTCTCTTCCTTCCATTCCTTTTTGGCTAGAACTTCATACCCTTACTGTTAGAGGAAGAGTTACCCTCCCAGGAGATATGCTAGGTACCAAAGCGTTCAAGAGCTACTTTTAGAGATGACGAGCCCCAGAATACTCCAGCCATTATGGCTGGGTGGAGCTGCAGTCTAAAAAGTAAGTTCAAAGCTCTGATGATCATCATCCTGTAAAACCCTGCTTTAGGCCATTGTGAGTCATTACACAGGCAGCTGCTGGTGTTCATTGCAACACGGGCCTTTGCTGAGGGACCAAGGTCGGTCGCTGTGCCCCTTCGCCCATGCTCAGAGACTCCGCCTGCCCAGGTCAGGCTCAAGGGAAAGGGAAAAAGTAGGAGAGAGAGTCGGTGTTTCCCAGGTGTCTCTTCCACCTCGCCAAACCTCTGGGAAGCCACCTTTCCAGAATGCAATCAAATTTTGGGAAGCAGCTTTAGTACAATTCTATAGACCAGAGAACACCTCCAAGGTGTTCCAGTCCATTCTCAACCAGCTCTGATTGTCCAGAAGTTCTCCTTTCTTGTATGGTGAGCCCCAGAATACAGTCTGAAAAGTGAGTTCAAAGTTCTGATTATCATCATCCTGTAAAACCCTGCTTTGGGCCATTGTGAGTCATTACACAGGCAGCTGCTGGTGTTCACTGAAACACGGGCCTTTGCTGAGGGACCAAGGTCAATCGCTGTGCCCCTTCGCCCATGCTCAGAGACTCCGCCTGCCCAGGTCAGGCTCAAGGGAAAGGGAAAAAGTAGGAGAGAGAGTCGGTGTTTCCCAGGTGTCTCTTCCGCCTTGCCAAACCTCTGGGAAGCTGCCTTTCCGGAATGCAATCATATTTTGGGAAGCAGCTTTAGCACAATTCTAGAGCCCAGACAGCGCCTCCAAGGTGTTCCAGTCCATTCTCAACCAGCTCTGATTGTCCAGAAGTTCTCCTTTCTTGTACAGTGGTGCCTCGCTTAGTGATGTTAATCCGTGCAGAAAAAATCGCTGCTAAGTGATTTCGTCGCTAAGCGATATTTAAAAGCCCATAGAAACGCATTAAAACCTGTTTAATGCATTCCTATGGGCTAAAAACTGACCTTAAAGTGAAAATCCTCCATACGGCGGCCATTTTCGCTGCCTCTAAAGCGAGGAATCTGCGCAAAAACACAGCTGGTGGCCATTTTGTTTACCCGGCGGCCATTTTGGAACAACTGATCAGCTGTTAAAAAATCATCGCTTTGCGATGATTGGTAAGCAAAACAAGGAACCGATCATCGCAAAGCAAAAAAAACCCATAGGAAACATCGCAAAGCAATCACTTTTGCAATCGCAAAAAGTTTGTCGCTATGCGGTTTCATCGCTAAACGGAGCGCCCGTTAAGCGAGGCACCACTGTAATTTGAACCCATTACTTTGAATCCTTTCTAATAATTTGAATCCACTGCTTTGAGTCCTATCCTGCGGAGCTACAGAAAAACAAGCTTGCTCCAGCATCTGCCCGGCAGCTTTTCAAATATTTGAAAATGACAAATGACCCAACGTTCAATCTTCTCTTCAGGATGAGTGGACCCAGGACCCTCCATTGCTTCTCATGGGACTTGGTTTCCAGCATCCCCAAAGTGTTCTAATAATTTGAATCCACTGCTTTGAGTCCTATCCTGCGGAGCTACAGAAAAACAAGCTTGCTCCAGCATCTGCCCGGCAGCTTTTCAAATATTTGAAAATGACAAATGACCCAACGTTCAATCTTCTCTTCAGGATGAGTGGACCCAGGACCCTCCATTGCTTCTCATGGGACTTGGTTTCCAGCATCCCCAAAGTGCCCTCTTCTGGATACTTTCCTGACCCTCATTTTATTTGTTTTGACTCAATTCTCAATCTGTTAAGAGTCACCTTGAACCTCGATATCTAAATTAACCTTCCAAGTATTGTATCATTCGCAAGGAAATCCCTAAATGCAAACTAGCCGCCCGCGCCCAGCCCCAGTCATCGGCTTTCCCACCAGTGGTACAGGAAATAATCAGGCTAATCTACTTTACAGATCCGTCGTAATCCTTGCAAGATAATAACTGTGAAGCATTTCATACAGGTGAAGCAGATGCACAAAATGTCAAGTTGCTTTTGTATAAAAACAAGTCGTATCAGGATGGGAGGAGAGAAACTCATATTTAATTAGCCTATTAGATCTAGCCTGGCACAGCTTGATTCAAGTTTAGACCACATGTGGTTCAAAGGACACCCCCCCCTTTTGTGCTAAGCCTTTTCAAGCAAATATAAAGTGAGGGGTGGGTCGGGTGCAATGCCTGGTTTTTAGATTACGAGGGAGTGGCAGAGGGGGGGAGGAAGGTGACCGCTCCCAAAGCCTGCAGTTTCGCTCACAGAGTAGGAACTTGAGTGCTGAGGAAGGATGATGGACGGCTGCTGAGTCTGGTTTTAAGCAGAACCTTCCAACTGAACGGAACCTTCTCTTAGTGACACTGCAATTCGCAAAGAGCAGAAAGATGCATGACGCTCAAGGGCAAGAAGTTCATTCCAAGGAACACATCCAGCTTTGCAACTAAAGGAGGGGGGAGGGAGGGGGAAGGATGGCATGCCTGGGCACCTGAGCCAGGAATCCTGGATCTGCAGACCATCCAAACAGCATAAATATGGTGCAACCTTGGAAGTGATCAGAAATCTGCTTCTGGTTTTGAAAATGGGAACAGGGGAGTACTAAATACTCTGTGTGTGTGTGTGTGTGGCCAACCTATTTGCCGGGCAAATTGCTGTCTCTGGAAGCTTGCAAAAGCAACAATTCATCTCTTTTCTTGCTGGATAAAGTCATTCTTTATCCAATATGCAACCCTCAGGTTGCATTTCAACCACTATGATGAGACTTTGCGAGGCCATGGGCGAAAAGCAGAAGCGTTGAACCAAAATTCCAGTCTTAGAAACGGCTGTAATAGGGAAGGGACAGGACCCTCGGAGGGGGGAGAGGGGAAGTCCAGGGGTTGGGCTAGATTCAGCCCTGGCACCTAAGATTCTCCAGCCCTGCTCCAAAGCGCATTACAATCCACGTTCAAGCCCTTCCCATTAATTATCTGAGGGATTTGCAAGCTGGTTTCCTCTGCATTTTGACTGTCTTACCTTTTTAAGTAATAAACGGCCAGCGCTCCTAAGAGCAGGGCGAGCGAAACGGAGCCCACGACAATGAGAGCGGTCTCCCAAGGTTGAAACGAATGTCCTGGGAGGAAAAAAAAATGGGAGAAAGGGAGAGAAGAATTATGAATAACTTCTTTGGAGAAATGCAGCCGAATCATAGAATAACGGAGTTGGAAGGGGCCTCCAAGGCCATCAAGGCAGGAATCCACACCAGAGCAGATCTGACAGAGGGTGATCCCATTTCCTCTTGGCTGCCTCCAGTGTTGGAACCACTGGTGGAGGCTGTAGTTGGCTTTAACTTGAAGCACACACCCCACCCCACAGCTCTCATCTCCAGTCTAGCAAGGCATAATTAGGCAGTGGCATTCGGATTACAAAGATGGCAACAGGGACCTGCTACTCTCCCGTTGCCCGTCCACCACTGTCCACCCTTCCAACCGGACCCTCCGGCTGGTCTCCCATCAGCTCACCTTTAAGGCTCGGTTCCATTCTGTTTGGAGATGGGCACGCTGTGTTTACTTTGAGGAGCCTCCCGTCCACAGGAAAGGGGTTGGGACTTGCAGAAAAATTCGCCTGCCACCGAGCAAGCAGCTGCCGCTGTTCCTCTGACCTGGTCAAGATCTGGCCAGAGAGCTTCAGGATCGAATCGAGGCAGGTGAAACGAAGCTCTGTGGAAAGATGTGTGTGTTTCATGACCTCCGGGAAAGGAATCTGGTTCAATTCAATTTTTGGTGGGGGGGGGTTTAGTATTTTTCAGGGAGCGGTTAAGTGAATCAGTGGATAGTGATCCTGTGGATAGGAGTGCCTTATTTGCAAAATAATATTTACAAAACTCCCATAGTTCAGCACCAACATACCTCCTTTATAGCCATCTGCTCTAAGCAACCAACAAATCTTATGGTTTCTCTTTATGAGAAGTTGGACATATTTGATGCTCACCTTGTATATAGCAGGATGAGACTCCACAGGAACAGCTCTCCTCCATAGATCTCACCAACGCACGCTGGAGACTAGCCAGAACGGGAGGACTCGGAGGCCACAAGGAACAATCTAGCAGAGAAGAGAGGAGGTCAACAACCAAATCAAGACATGCATGGATGCCCCTTAATGTCTGTGGCCAATGACATGTTTCGCCCAGATGTGCGGCAAAACAGCACAAACCATCCCAAGAGCAAGATTTAGGGCAAGAAGTGTGCGCTCAACCTCTTCTCCTGCCCTTGCCCTCCACTCACCACGTCCCCTCCAACCGATGGCTCAAGTGGCTTTTTCTCATCATGGGCATCATCATCAGCACCTGGCCTCCCAGAACGGATCCCAGGGCCCCTCAGTGCTGAAACCTATCTAAGGCCCTGCAGATCATACGCCCAAGTCTACAAGCCACGGTTTGGAAAAGAGACAAACATTTCCAGTTCTCCTGAGCCCACTTAAGCACAGGAATTAAAATGGCAGTTCCCTTTTACCCTACGAGTAAACCTGACATCTGTGTCAAGGGGGGAGGGGGAGTGTCATCCAAGAGTGATATGGGGTGGTAAGTATCATATGGTTTCAAGGGCAAACAACAACAATAACAACAACAACAACAACAACATTGACTTGCAGGAGCAATCAAACATACTATCCAAAGCCTACATTTTAAAGTGGTCCAACCCTGTTTAGCTGCACAGCACGCTTCTCTTCCCCTTTCTTTTTAACACCCAGAACTCTTTCCTGAAACCACACCAGCTCATTTTTATCTCCCCTTGCCTCTTCTCGCCTGGGGAGATACACAGAGGGTCTAACACAACATTTCAAGTCTTCTTTCTGTCATCGTGAGAAAGGAGAAACGAAGACGGCCTGCTCTTACTGGGTGTCAGCAGGCACATTCGGAGATCCAGGGATGGCTGAGGTGGCTGAGGGCACTGATTCTCCAAGCCAGGTGTGGGATCCGAGACGGCAAAGGTTTCGTTGCAGGAAGAACAGCGGCTTAAGGACAGCCATCTGCCAAAGAAACAGCAAACCTTAGAATGGCGAGCCTTTCTCAAACATGAGGTGAGGGCTGATCATTTGCAAATGACTAGTAACATGCCAGCTAGCGGTAGGGTGGTTCTGCCAAATTTCGGATTTGAACAGACACACAAACACATGCTTTCCTCCATTAAAAAGCCTACCCTGGTGCCCTATGAACAGGTTGTTCTTTGAGAGGCTCCCTCTAGTCAGCCTCAGTGAAAGGACCCTGTTTTAGGGTCGCAGCTTCTAGGATTTTGTCCTGGGGAAACTCCAGACGAATTCTAGGAGCTGTTGTCAAAAAGGAACAGAAATTTCATCCCTAATATAGGGTTGTAACGCTACAAGACCCGCCCAAGGGCTGTTGAGTCCAAGCTCCCCCCCCCTTTCCAGAGCAGAACATGGATGGCTAAGGCAGCCTGGACAGGCGTTGTCTAAGCTCTGATCAAAAACGTATCATGAATGGCGGCTGTCCGCTGGACACATCCAAGCTTGTCAATATCATTCTTAACCTGTGCTTCCCAAAACCGGACACTGTATTCCAGGTGAGGTCTGACCAAGGCAAAATAAAGTGGTGCTATGACTTTCCTTTCCACAGGACGTCTTCTGAGGTAACCAAGTCCTGCATTTGCTTTTTAGCCACCGCATCACACGGTTAATGCATGTTACGTAAAACGTTGTTGTTGTTGTTGTGTGCTGTCAAGTGGCCTCCAACTCCTTGCAGCCCTAGGCGTGAGCAACCTCCAAGAGTCTTCAGCTGCCCCGCTCAGCTCTTGGAAACTCAAGCCTAGAAATCCTAGAAATATATATATATCTAAATATGTGTCTCCCTCTCCTCTGGAATACTGCCAAAACCTTCCCACCGCAGATCAGTTTAAAGCTCTCCTGACCAGGTTTGCAAGACTTCTAGCAAATAGGTTCTTCTGAACCCCTGTAAGGTGCAGCCCATGGTTTGCCCGGAATCTTTTCTCACAGACATTCAGATCACGGTTCAAAAAGCCAAACATTTCCTGGCAACTCCATCTTTGCAACCAGTTGTTATCTTCCAGTGCTCTCGTTTCCCCATCCAGGCCACATCCTTTGACAGGAAGGAGGGACGAAAGCACCCCCTTTGCCCTAAAATCCTTCGCCTTCCCGCCTGGAGCCTCATCGTCACTTACAATGTGCTGACCAACGTGTGTGTCTGGCATTATTTGTCCCAACGTGAATCAGAAGGAAGAGAGAGCAGGCACTGAGCTCAGGAAATCTCGGCAGCCTCTCTGTAGAATCTTGACTCTTTGCACCAAAGAGAGAGCACAGTTCCCGGGACGTCCTGCCCGGTCTGCAAACTGCTCTCTCTGATTCTCCCAACACGCATCATCTCCTCCGCTGGGAAGTGGTAGGATTCTTTAGGGGAGGCTTTTTACTGAACAATCACCCAGGAGTAAATTTTAGTAAGTCAACCAATGAAAGATCTCACCTTTCTCCTTTCCTAGGTATGAGATAGATGGGTCCAGGAAGGCCAGGCTGATCTCGGCTGGTGCCAGTCTCCCAGGAGAAGACCACCACGTCTTCCACAATCTCATCAGGAACGTGTGCGCCCTTCCGAGCCTGCGTATGCCTGAACAGAGCGACCCCATGGCTCTTCTGATGTGAGGAGGGATCGCTCCAAAGAGAGGGCTTCACCAGCTGTTCTGGAAACAGAGAGGGTACCAGTGGTTAGGACGCTAGACTTGGGGAGATCCAGGGTCTACTTCCCACTGAACCACGACACTCACAGGCTAACCTTGGCTTTGCCATTCTTGTTCTGGTCTGCTACCTCACTGGGTTGTTGTGCAGACAGAGCAGAAAGGAGGGCAGCCATAGTGAGCTTTGACAGAGATGTAACTAATAAACAAAAACACCACACTTCTGTCATCAAATGGGGTTAAAGTGAAACAGCATAGTGGTGCCTCGCTAGACGTTGATAATCCGTTCCACTGAAATCGCTGTTTAGCGAAATCATCATCTAGCGAAAAGCATTTCCCCATTGGAAGGCATTGAAACCTGCTTAATGCGAATAGGGAAGAATCGTCGTTGTATAGCGAAGACTGGCCATAGGAAAGCCGCTTTGCGAACTGCCGATCAGCTGTTTAAATAGCTGTCTTGTGAAGCATAGGTCCCGAAAACACCCGTTTTGCGAGTACGGAGGGAGCTGTCAAAATCGTCGTCTAACGAAAATCGGTTTGCAAAGCAGGGACCAAACATTGTCCAGCGAAATTCCCCCATAGGAATCACTGTTTTGCGAATCGCTATAGCGATCACAAAAAGTCAATGTCTAGCAAAAAAACTGTCATGCAGGGTAACTGTCTAGCGAGGCAGCACTGTAGTAGGAAACCAAGGAACGTTTGATTCTCTACCACCATTTATTATTATAGCAAAGGAACTGAACAGCATTTACAATCAAGTACATTATTCTCAGATTTTGAAGGACAGTATTCAGCAGAGTGAGAGGATAATATGCTTCATTCCACACGTAAGGCAGGAGGTTAGTTTAAGGGCCCCAGGACACATAGCATAGCATAGACAGCTCTTACTCCACACGTAAGGCAGGTTAGTTTAAGGGCCCAGGGACACATAGCATAGCATAGACAGCTCTTTCCTCCAACGATACAGCTGTGGGGTTTATGAGGAGCAGGTGGGATCTGCCATACCTGTCCCCAGGATTTGCCATGAGCAGCTGCCACCTCTGTATATCTACCGGGAGGACCAGCTCTGATCATCTCACACACCCCTCCAAAGCGGTAGGCAGGCTACTGGCTGAATAAGAGCATGGAGTTCAAGTTCAACCAGACCTTCAAGAAGATACTGTTTTTGGACTACAGTGGTTTTTTTTTTTTTTGGCAGGTGCAGTTTTTAAAAGCAACTTTACCAAGTTCTGAAGTCCTTTGACTATGGAAACAGAGCAGAAAAATGATCTTTGCACCGTCACCTACCATGACTGTGGCCATCGCTGGACTGTCCTGGTGACACGACAAAAAGCCCGTTGCTTCCGAATGTGCCCTGCAGTTGGAGACTGGCGTACGGCTTGGCCTCATGACCAGAAAAGAACATCAAGGAAAACCCTTTCAAGCTGGCCCCCGAGGGTCCTTTCAGCTCAACAAACTGGTACAGCGCTGTGCCGGTTGCCACACCCACTTCATTGATCACCATGGAATGACTGCGGGGTGCTTCTTCCGTGGCGTTTGGGGCAACCGCCGTGCAAGCATTTTCACGGAAAGGAGTTATTTCCGCCACCTGGTTGGGAGAAGGGAACAGACTCACAAAGTGTTTGTAAGGTGTGACCTCTTGTCGAATTTAATAAACATTTTCTAACTTCCTTATAGGATTATTTTCAGTGCATAAGATCTCAGGCCAAAGGAGGATCCAGCAACTGGGCATTCCCTTTTAAGTATGGAAAAAGACTCCTAACTGGATCAGACCACCCTCTCTAGTCCAATGGTGGAGCAGCCAAACACACCAGTCCTGCAGCTGCTTCCCAGCAACCGAATCACCTTAAAACACCTGGAAGTAATAGGTCCACAGCGTGTAGCCAATATTCAGAGAAATAGCTACGTTTGTCCGTTTTAGCATCTATGACAAAAAAACAAGCCAAAGAAAACAAAGCTACAGTGGCACCTTAGATGTATTTCATTGTGAGTTTTTGTGGATTACAATTAAGACAGGAACTGAAAAAAAAATTGAGCTGGATTGTGGTTTGGTTTGTACACAAAGAGATCTGTTTGTTTCTCTTATTTTGAGGCACCGCTGCAAAAATCTGGAGGGTCATGGAGTTTAGGAACCTGTTTTTCTTAAAAGATGGAACTATGTGGTAAACAAAAGTGATCCTGTAGGTTGTAGAATTGAAAACGGAAGGGAAGAACCTTTTATGCTCCCTTGAGCTCGTCGGAAGAAAGAACGGGCTTAAATCAAAGCCCTTAAACCCCTGGGCCCTTGATTTAGTCCTCAGAGCTTGTCCTACAACTCCATTGTTTCATGGCTCCTCGGTTTTTCTGTGTATTTCTCCCCATTCTTTGTAATGAGTCTTAAGCTGAAATAAGCAGAGACACAGGGTCTCCGATTCTAGCCTTGGCTTGCCCGGCACTCCAATGTGCTCCCTGGGAACATTTCTGAAATTAAGCTATTTAAGCCCCTTCTTTCTTCCAGCACTCCAATGCGCTCCCTGGGAACATTTCTGAAATTAAGCTCAGGCTGTAGCTGAAAGCAAGGGGCTCTGCTTGGTACAGACCAAGGTGTCCCAACCTTGGGGCTCCCCAGATGTTCTTGGGCTAAAACTCCTGGAAGCCTTCACCAACTTAGGTTTCTAGGAGTTGTAGTCCAAGAACATCTGGGGCCCCAAGATTGGGGAGCATCGGCACAGATGAATGGAAAGAGATGGTCCGTGTAGTTTCACTCAGGAGGATGGAGAAGCCCGAGGGACCCATGCCCACCTCTTGCCCAGCCCAACCAGCCCTTGTGCCAACTACCTGGAAGCTACTGTGGTCTCGGGGCCTCAGGCTTCGACATCGACTGAGAGACTCGTCTTGAGTGCTGTGAGAATCGTTTTCGTACAGGATACTCTGTCCCGGAGTTAGGATATCAAGGAGCTTCTCGGCGCGGTACGACCCCCGGGCGGTGTACACCACCGCGTCCACCAGCCCCTCGGCGGTCACGGGCATGTTGACTTGATAGATGGGTTTGGTGCTGCGGTAGAGGGCCACCGCATCTGCTCCGTTCTGGATGGTGTTGTCAGGCAAGACAATGGAGGGCGTGGGGGCCACCCCAGAGCTACCCACCAGGAAATAGCCCCACCTGTCCGTACGGTGGCCCCCCAGGCTTACCACCTGGTAAGCAAGGTCGTTCTTGCCATTGTAAAGAACGAGCCAGTAGTCTCGGAGCTCAAACGGCGCTGGGCCAGGATAGAAAAGTTCAACGTACTCCGTATCCTCTCGAGAACCTGGGTTGTCGGGATTCACCTCATTGATCAGCAACTCCACGCGAGGAGCTTGTGTGGTCTGGATCGTCTTTGGCTCCTCAGATGTTACCCCTTTAAAAAAAGCAAATCCCACCACCTTAGACTTTGCATTCTATGTATTCTGCGCTGTGTTACACTGCAGATGTACAACACCGCACGTGCACAACAGCCTTCTTTCCCAAACTTGGGTGTCTTCCAGGTGGGCTGGATGATGAAGCCCATCATCCCCAGCCCACAGAAAGGAGAAGACAAATCAAATTTTTTGATTTAATTTTGTGTGCGTGGTTTTTTCCCCCAGAGTGTATTTGACAGAATTGGTCACTAGAGGGAGCTAGAGATGATGCAATGTTTGATACTGTACAGTGGTGCCTCGCTTGATGAGGATAATCCGTTCCAGCAAAATCGCTGTTAAGTGATATCCTCGTGAAGCAAAATAAAAAATCCCATTGAAATGCACCATTTTGTACACCCGACGGCCATTTTGAAACCCGACAATCAGCTGTTTTTGATCATCATAATGAGAAGAATCGGTTCCCGAAGCAGGGAACCGATCATCGCAAAGTGAAAAAAAACCATTCAAACATCGTTTTGCAATCGCAAAAACTTCATCGTTAAGCAATTTCCTAACGAGGTAATCATCAAGCGGGGCACCACTGTACTTCCTTTCACTTTCACAAGATTCTGCAGTCCCCCTGGCACCAGAGCAAAGGGGATCCCTCCGGGCTCTCCGTCTGGTCCTGCCATCATCCTTGCGTTGTGAAAACGCCCAGAGAGATATGCCCTTGCAGCACTTCCCATTCCACTGCACTCGACAGATACCTGAAGGACTTTCGGTCATGTTCGCCCCACTCGAGCAAGACTGGACCGCCGTGCTGTTCCATTTCCTGAACCTCACTGCCTCCTTGCTCTGCAAGATGATCGAAAGGGCCTGCAGCAAGCTCTGAAGCTGTGGGGCTGATCTAGCCGTCAGCTGAGCCGTGAACACCAGTCCTCCATCCTGGCAAGTCACAACCGGATCTGCGGGAGGAATGGGGTCAGAAGAGGAAACACGTCTGAAACCACAGCTCTGCATTACCCCAATTCTCAGCTCTCTTTTTTAAAAATTTCAGTGGAAAATATTCAGAACCGATTGAAAATATAAGTGCTGTACATACGAAGTACTAGGAATGTCAGAAGACTCATAAGTAGTGACAAAAAAGGATCATAAAGCGCAAAGGAAGGAAGGAAAAAAGAATTTGGTCATGACAGTCATTATTATTCAGTTGATTATTGACATAAGAGACAGCCTTTAAAATATTTATGTATTAATTCTATATTCCCAGCATTTATGGCTTTTTCTGTCTGTCAAAGCTCTTAAAGTGATTTACAGTACAGTAAAAAAAAAAACACGCTAATTTCTCTTGCCGGTTAAAAATGTAAGTAAGACCTCTTGACAATTTAAAATTTTTCCACACAGTTCTGTCTCATAACAGCGTATGTTCATACCCTAACATACCTGATAAATAGAGCAAAGAGTTTCAAAAATATTCTCCCGATGTCACTGCTTTGTATATAAACTTATTCTTCCTCACAGGAGTGCATTTTCATTATTTATAACCCACAGAAAACCACAGAACAGACCTTCCCCAACCATTTTCCAAAACAGCTAACCCATTGAGGCCACAGAAAAAAGTGACAGAACAAGATTTGGATTCAATCATATGCAAGCTTTGAAAGGACACAACAGAATTAAAGCGAGTGAACAAAACTTAATTTAAAAAGCAGAAATAGATTCAGCATCATAAAATGCCTCCCGGGATAATTTGCAAATCACCCTCCCTCTCAAAAAAGGAGAGCCTGAGAGAATTTGGATGAGAGAGAATTCCACCACATAAGAAAGAGTTCCTCGTCACGCCCACCGGTTGAACCTTCCCCGAGGATGAACCAGAAAACAGGGCTGTAGGAAAGGAAGATATTGGTGTCCTTTTGAACGAGCATGTGGGAAAATAAGCAGAATAATAGCCTTCTAGACAATCAGAAAGGCTTGCCACACGTCTGGCATCAGTTCAGAGGGACACCCCGTAATGGACCATCATCAAGCGCCAGTCTTGTGTGGCCCCGTTGTTCCTCTGCCCTGTTGCTGCTTGTTTGTCTGCCTTCCGTGTAAAGAAGGAGAACAGCCGCCTTCTCTTCTCCTGGATTCTTCTTCTGCGTGGGAGAAATACATGGAGGTGGATTCAGACTACGATGCCCAAAAGGTGCCTTCTCTCCCTCAGGGGCTTACACGGTCTCCCACCATCTGCACTGTTTCCCTTTTAAAACACATCTTAATCCCCTGGTTCAAAGACCGGAGGTTGCCCATAGTGGCCCAAAGCATTTGCCTCACCTTTGAAATAAGCAGGAAACACTCTGCAGCCACACTGCTTCTCCAAGGCCAGGGACAAAAACGCGAGAATCTCACTTTCCACTGGGATGTCTTTCGGGCAATCTAAAAGAAAACGAAGAGAAAAGATTAGAAAGGCAGGAACCCTCCACGCTCTTATCGGGAGCATCGCTGCTCGGAACCCTAGACTGGGCTACGCGGAAAGGATTGCATACAAAAGCCAATGGGTACAGACAGATCTGTCCAGTGGGTTCTGCAATTCTTGGTAACTTTTTGTTTTAACACTAGACTCTGAAATCTGCCTTAAACACACACAAATTTGTCGTAGACCAGCATTGAATTACATGGCTTCTAGGTCAACCTACCTGGTACTTGAAAGCACAAGGAAATATCTTGACCGAAGCGCTTCTTGGGGCAGTCGTTGAATTGCCCTGGCGTGGGCAGGTCGAGAACGTAGGCAGAAGGATCCCGGGTGAGGCTGCAGCAGACACACCGGCTGATGGATGAGCAGTTGGACAACGATCTGATGGATCAAAGTCAGGGAGAAGGAAATTAACAGGGTAATCTTATAGAGGTCAGCCATGTTCCCGGGGGACACAAAGCCAGTACTGGGGAAATTACCTTTTCGGACCCTAATTTTCAAAATCAATTTGCTAGTATGGCCAGTGGCCATTACAGCTGGGGGATTCTGGGACGTGCTGTCCAAAAAAGGAACCTTTTCATACTCTGCCAAAAGTCCTGGAGTAAATGAACCAAGATATGTACAAAAAACACAGGTGCTTTACTTCTTCTGCACAAGAGAGAGAGAGCACATTCTCTCTCTCTCTCTCTCTCTCTCTCTCTCACACACACACACACACACACACACAAGCTGTGCAGCCACAGGGTGCCCACAGAAGAACGGAAGGGTTAACCTCAGCATTCTCTACCTGGAAAACCCTGAAAGCGGATGTTGTAAGTCAGAATTGACATGATGGCACAATAATGTTATTGTTGTTTTGAGTTACATTTCCATGCTATTTTTTCTCCAAATGGCTATAATCCTCTACAGTTGTGCCCCACTTAACGATTACCCCGTATAACGACGAATCCACTTCACGACGAAGTTTGGATATGTTCTGGAGGTTTTTCTTCCTAACGTTTTGCCAGTCTCTGTGGCCGGCCTCTGCAGAGGACAGGAGTCAGAACTCTGTCTGTGCTCTGGTGCAGTTTGTGGGATAATTGAGTACTTGTAGCTGTGGGATCAGGTTTTTGTCCTTTTCAGGAGATTGGGTGATTATGGTGATCAGTGTTTTTTGTTGTTGTGGGTGTATTGTTGTGATCAGGGGGAGAAATGATCTGTCAGTGTAATTGATGGGTGTTGTTAGCTGGTCTTAGCTAACCACCCGAGCCATTATACTGATTTTCTCCCTGTAGTCCTAAATGCACTCCTGATAAGGGAACAAATACCTCACTGCACTCCAGCTGTAGGACCTTGAACAACTCTCTTTGTGGTCAAGGTGCGAATGTTCTCCAAGCTAGAAATGATTTTACTTACTCTTCTTTCACATGGAAAGGAGGCTTCCCATGGGTCAACGTGTCCTGCAGCTTTGATTCCGTGCGCTCACCCACTGTGTAAACCAAGGCATCCAGAAGGCCAACAGTCGACACGGTATCCCCCACAGCAAAGCTGCGGGCACTCCCTCTGAACAGGGCAACAGCGCTGGTGTTGGCTCCGAAGGGGGGTTTCATGGAGTTGCTGGGGAAAGCCAGGTCAACTGGAAACCCAAAAAGAATACATGTTTTAATTAGTTTCGTTTCATGTTAAACTAGCACAAAATCATAGCCCAGCTGCACACTATTGTTGAAGCCTATGATCTGGCTTGTATTATAATCATTTGCTCAAAGTCAGTTTGTTATTTTGTTTGCTGTTGAACGGTTCGCAACTGTAAGTAATGAAATGTTTTTATTCCTTCTACCACATATGTCTCAGAGAGAGTTCCTGAGTCTGTAAGTGCCAGGTAATGAGAAAGGGGTGGACTATCTGAGGAATTGTGGCTCTTCTCCTTTGCGAGTCTCTGTCTTCCTACTATGCAGCAAAAAGATTTTAACAGAGAGATATGAATGCAAGGTAACAGTGAATATATTAAAGGCTATTCAGCTATCCTTGTCAGTTTGAGTAAAGGCTTTACGTGTATCTTATAATTTGGATGTTACCATTTTATGGGGCAGACCACTTTCTTTGCCGCAAAAAGTTAGGAAAAATTCATTTGCCTGAAGAAACAGCTGGAACAAAACAGCTGGAACATGAAAGACACTGCTTCCTCTCATGGTCTTGTGCCCCCACAGATTTCTTTGCCCCCCTCTGGTGGGGTACCTCCTTCCCCCAGTTTGCAGACGAAGGCCTTCTTAGGACGAAGAGCTGAAAGCTCTTCCTGATGGGGCCAGTTTTATGCTTTCTGCCTCGTTCTGAAAACCTCTCTCCTTTTGCTCCTGGTTCTCCAAGGTCGGGTCAGGTCACGGCATTGTAATCATTTTAGAGTGTCCGAGATGGACAGTAAGTTGCTCAGCCTTGACCAGGCATTCCTGCCAAGCCCAGGGCAGAATACACTAGGCTGGCCCTTGGCCATTTTACAAGAAATCGGGTCAGCAGGCAAGCCAAACAGAAAACTACTGCCTTGGTCAAAGTTGCTAATTTAGTAAAAAAGTTAAAGGTTCCCCTTGACATTTAGTCGAGTCATGTCCGACTCTAGGGCGCGATGCTCATCCCCGTTTCCAAGCCGTAGAGCCAGCGTTTGTCCGAAGACAATTTCCATGACCAGCCCGACTAGACACGGAACGCTGTGACCTTCCCACCGAGATGGTCCCTATTTATCTACTTGCATTTGCATGCTTTCGAACCGCTAGGTTGGCAGGACCTGGGACGAGCGATGGGAGCTTCCTCCCTCGCCTGGATTCGATCTTACGACTGCTTGGTCTTCTGACCTTGCAAGCACAGAGGCTTCTGCGGTTTAACCCGCAGCGCTACCACATCCTACTATTCATTTAGTACCTGCCCTATATAAGCCTCCCTGCCCCACTGTTCTATGTGAACACACTTTCAGATTTGATTTTAATCTACCAGCTCCCTTCACACAGGAAGGAGGAGAAAAAGCACATTAAAAGGGTGGTGGGAGGGGAGAGAGAAGCTAAATGTCAAAAGTAAACAGATTTAAGACATTCTGCTGCCTAAGCGGAAGAACCACGTAGGACCTTTTCAGATACAAGCAAACCTTACTTAAAATTGATGACGGAGCTACAACATCTGCCAAACCAGAGGAGGAGAGCAGGCAAGACGGAGCCATGAAGAGGAGACTCAGTTCTGTCTTCCCAAACTTTCACACCACTTCCCACTGCTCAGCATCGGATGCCTCAGGCAACTCACTGTAGGCCAGCATGGGTCAAAACCTTCAAAAGGGGGTCAAATCTGAAGCAAGACTTCAGTTGCATTTCATTGGTATCTCTGAGGGACGGGTAGTGGCTTCAGATAGTGCATAGCAGGGTGGATTTTATTGATTCAAATCACAATTTTTTAAACCATCAGTTTTTAAAATTTAAATTGTCCAAAGAAAAATTTTAAATCACATTATCCAAAGAATAAGATTTTTAAAATTTTAATGTGTGATTTGAATCAATCTGATTTCCATATTTTTAAATTTAAGTTATCAGAAAAAAATCTGATTTTGAAATTTTAATTTGTGATTGGAATCAATTTGATTTCAGATTGATTGGAATCCCAAATCAAAATTTAAAAATCAGATTTTTTTCACCATTTAAAGTTTAGAAAGTGTTTCCAAAAAAAATTTAAATTGTGATTTGAATCAATTTGATTTTTTTAAAATCACTTAAAAAAAACCACCCTAGTTCCTAGTTACACAACAGTTTTGCTTGCCATGTAACATGAACCCAGAAATTCATTAACAGAAGGTTTTATGGATTGGGAGAATTTGTGGAATTTATGGCCACTGGGTCACAGGGTGGTCTATATGCTGCCTGCAAGCCGGCCGCTCAGCACCACAGGCGGGAGAGCCCCAGAGCCGTTGGGGGCCTGTGGACCCTTGCCCGATGCAACGGCTTGTTCCAGATACAGGAGGCTGGAATAGATAGAAGCCAGCATGCTTTTTCTTTTATCCTACTTACTGCAAGCACTTATTACAGCACTGATACAGCACTGCAGGCCATATTTTCTAAGCACAAACCTAGCCTTACTTCGAACAGACAAGAGGTTGGATAAAACACAAAATTCAGCCACTGGGGGGGGGGAAGCACAATAAAACAACAACCCAAAAAACCACCCACAAATGTCACAATGTTGTGTGTGTTATGTGGTCAACACCTGGTCATATGTGAGAAACCAACAGGATGCTGAGTAAGATTTCCAGCAGTTACAACACAAGCCTCAATGTCATCTTGGACAGCCACTTATGTCAGCAACAGAGGCGTGCCTAGTGATTTACACAAATACACTCTTCGCAGTCGTGCAGACGACACAAGCCCTGGTTTAGGACAATCAGATCCTACGAGAAATACAGCCTGTGTTACCACTGTTGCCAAACCGAGGATGGCATCGAAGTGTGAAAGCCTTTCGCCTCCAGAGGTGGAGCACAGGGCTTGGAATCCTTGGTCAAAATCCCTATCGTTTATTTCTTTATTTAAAATATTTTCCCCTGCCTTTCTCCTTAAAAAGACTCAAGGCAGTTTATATCATTAAAAACACAATATTTAAAAGCTAAAAACAGTAAATATATAAAAATATTAAGAATTAATCCATTATTGTATTAAAAATGGTAAATCAAATCAAATTCAAAACCAACAGAGCACAACAATTCATTTAAAAAAAAAAAACCCTCTCGGACTACCAGTCACTAAGGAAAAGGACAGCCTAAAGAGAAAGGTCCTTGCCTGTTTGTAGGACAGCAAAGATGGGGCCAGCCTAGCCTCCAGTGGGAGGGAGTTCCAAAGTCTGGGAGCAGCCACAGAGAAGCCCCTCTCTCCCATGTCCCCAATCAAGCATGCCTGTAAGAGTGATAGGACTGAGAGAAACGTTGATGATCTCAATGTCCAGGCAGGCTCAGAGAGGGAGAGGCGGTCTTTCAGATAGCTTGGACCCAAGCCATTTAGGGCTTTGTAGGTTAAGACCAGCACTTATGCCATTACCCTACTTTGGGGTAAGCTCATTTTCCTTTCAAGCTACCCATAGTTGCAATTAGAGGAAATGAGAATAATAATCAACAAAGGCCACATGTCTCTGTTTTCAGTGAGATGTTCCTTCATTAATTTGCCACTCTTCTCTGCAAGAAGAAGGGCAAGGGGGAGGGAGAGGGAGATGTTCGTAGCTCCCTGCCCCATAGATTACTGGCTGCATGTGTTTGTGAACAAAGGTGTTGTATCGGTTGGAGCACTGACTGCAACTCAGAACATGCAGCTCATTTCTGATGAGCCAGAAAACTCACTCTTACTTTTGAACCAGTTCCACTTTCTTGACCATACTTACCTTTCAGGGGCATTATGAGGATAAAGTGGGGAGGAGGAAAATTGTAAACGTGCTGGAAGAAAAGTAGGATATTTTCTTTCCCAATAGATGGGGGGGTATGTTTATTTTTGTTGCTGTGTATTGTGTATAAAAAGAAGTGTTTTGAATTCCGGTTAAACTCCTCTGGCTCTGCAGTAGAAGTGCAGGGACCCATGTAGCAGATTGCATAACAGTTCCCCAGATTAGTCCACCCCTTTTTCTCATCACTAACTGGCACTTACAGTCTCAAGAACTCACTCTGAAACATAAATACTGGAGTAGAAAGAATAAAAACACATTTTCTTCACTTACAGTTCTGAACAGATTCAACAGCAAACTAAGAACAAACGTGACTGCTTGCAGCAACAGGGCTCAAAAGACTCGCTGCTTCCAACAAACTAAGGACAGGGAAAGAATTCAGAGCAGAAAGGTAGGGAATGAACTACAGTGGTGCCTCGCTTAGCGATGTTAATTGGTACCGAAAAAATCACTGCTAAGCGATAACATTGCTAAGCGAAATTAAAAAGCCCATAGAAACGCAATAAAACGCGATTAATGTGTTCCTATGGGCTTAAAACTCATAGCTGAGCGAAGATCCTCCATAGCACCGTGATTTTCAGTGCCTCTAAAGCAAGGAATCTGTCTCAGAAAACAGAGGGTGGCCATTTTGTTTACCTGGTGGCCATTTTGAAACCACCGATCAGCTGTGCGAAAATGGGGGCTTTGCAATGATCGCTTCGCTGCAATCATCGCAAAGCGAAATTCCCCCATAGGGAACATCGCAAAGCGATCGCAAAAAATGTGTCTATGCGATTTCGTCGTAAAACGGAGCAATCGCTAAGCGAGGCACCACTGTATTGGCTACTGCTGGATAGACTGACATGCACGCAAGGTTGCAATAACTCCAAGAAGAAGGTACCTGTGGAGCTTCAAGGAGTCTAACATAATGAGCAGGCCAGTCCTACCTGTATGTTTGTGATGATCTGAGCCAAGGAGAAGCAGGCCATCAGGAGAGGTCTTGCCATGTACTTCCATGACAAAATTAATCTGGTTGCTCCCATTAACGAAGACCAGCACCAGGTCTTTCACCTCGGTGGAAGGAAGCCCCTGCAGCTCTACGAACTCAACCACAGGATTGACCTCATTGAGCAACACGGAGGAGGCGTTTAGTTGTGCAAAAGGAATACAGTGGTTATCCCAGCCGGGGGTAGGGGCACCCACTTGGAAAAACCACTGAGAACCCAGCCTTTGGCACCTCTCCAGCGATTCGTCGGTGGTCCTGAAGAGAGGGTCCTCAAGGAACGGCTCCACCCCGGGGGTCAGAATACGGACCAAGTCATCCGCTCGGTCGCTTGCTTTAGATTTGTGGACCAAAGCATCCACCAAGCCCTCGCTGGTAACGTTCATGCCCCTGTACAAGTCTCTCCGTCCAAAATAGAGAGCGATGGCATCTGGTCCGTTCTGGATTGTGTTTTTTGGAAGAATGACTTTGGGTCTCGGGACCACCGCGGAAGATCCGAGGAGGAGGAAGCCTTGGTTGTCGGTGGAGAGGCCTTCAAGAGGTTTGACATAGTAGGCTGTGTTGCCATTGCCATTGTAGAGAACGACGGAGTAGCCATCGAGAGGGGCCTGTTGGCCACTGCTATGATACAGTTCCAAATATTCCAGGGCATCCTCTCCGGGATTATCAGCATTGACCTCATTGATCAGGAGGGCGCGTTCCCTCATCGGCCCCTTTGGGTTCTTGATGTGGTTCTGAGAACCCACCACATGTAACAAGGTGCACACCAACAACGCAGATGCAACCAACAGGCTGGGGGCCATCATCACAGAGGCAAGGAGGCCACCAGGAAGACAAGAAGGTGTGGGTCCTTTTCCAAAGAGATTCAACCAGGATGGAGTAGAAAATCGCCGGTCAGAGTGGTCAGCGGGAACTCAACGTGACACTGCAGTGTCTCCATTGCAATCGGCAAATGGCGTCGACATGTTGGATCCAAGAAGCAGAAGGCCGGTCCTCTTCTCAGACAGAAGGCGCAGAGGACGAACGCAAAACTTCTCTTTATGGTCTTACCCTTTGCGCTGGAAAAGCAAAGCCACATCTCATTAAGCAACGTCCAAGCAGAAGCAAGAAGCTGCAGAAGATGCTACACCGGAAATGATCAATTTGGCTGGTGTCTGCACCAGCCTTTTATAACTCGATGAATGACAACTCAGCTCCCAGAAATGTCCAGCCCACCCGGTTAAGGAAAGTTGATAACAGATGGGGCATAAGACATCGCCGCTCCTTTGCAGAAGGCAGCACGCAGCTAAGATGGACTTTGCAGTATAAAGAGAGAGCTGGGCAAAACAAAATGATGAGGAATCCTATGTTTCCTAGCCCTCCGTGGTACCTACAACAAAATGCTGCAGCGTGGAGTGTTCTATTCCCTCGTTCCAATTATTCCCCTTCCACATTACTACGTAGGCTTCACCCCTTCCCCCAGTTCCAGTCCCTATGGCTCATCATTCAGAAGCCAGCATCTCCCTCTGCATCCTTTGGCTGCTGGAGAATAAAAGAATCTGCTCTAGGTACAATGAGAGCAGGGATCTATTTAGCCCAGGATCAAGGTTCAGGCAAGACTATCCCCTACTGTTAGCAGGAGGCGCCATCCGTAAACGAAGCTGGGCATGAAAAGTACGGGTCGTTCCGGGGCTACCCATGAAAAGGCACTGCCTCACGGCTCCAAAACAGAAGGGGAACCACGCTCTGGACTGCTGGCTGCCTTCCGCGGTGCTCTCAGGATGGCCCTGCTCAGCGGGAGAACCCACAGGATCCTTCCCCTGCAGCTGATGGAACTCAAACAGTTTGTGTAAGCCCACTGGCTTAGGTCTAGGGGTGTGGAAGGGTACAGGGGGGGCACACTAGGGGCTGTGCCACATCTGTTTTAAAGCTCTCCTTCCTCTTCGAAGAGACCCATTTCGTGATCGCTGAGTCCTTGCTCCTTTCTTAATCTAGTCCAGATCCCCCGGACTCAAATCTCTCAAGCAGTGGTTTTTAACCTTTGGTCCAACAGATGTGCCGGCCAATCTCCCAGCATCTCAGAGTGTTGGCCTTGGGAGCTGAGGCTTCTGGGAGTTTGAAAGCCAACATCTGGAAGACCAACATTGGGTTGAGCCCCCAGGTTGTGATGTGTGGTATGACATTGCAAAAGGTCCCCCTTCAACAGCAAGAACTTTAAAACAATAAAAAACAAAACAAAGTCACACTGCCACACCTCGAAGTGACACCTACCTTCCGATTGCAGGTTTAGAACAAAATGTTTAATGAAAAATAATTGGGTTTTTCTCCCCTTAAAAGGAAAGAGAAAGAGATGCATGCGATGTTCCTTTTTGGTTGTGACTCAAACTGCTCTTCTCACTTAGCCTCTCCCCAACATTTCATCGGGCGCAAGTCCTGCAAATCACAATTTCTACCCGTTGTTCCCCAGAGCGAGAGAGAAAGAGCCATCAGCTGCTTTTGAAGGGTTTGTTTTGCAACGCACGATGGCTGAAAGACCAAACTACGGATGGGCAAGTCTGTACGTCCCATCTTGCCCTCGCTGTGAGGACGCCTGTCCTCATTCTCCTCACACCGTGCTTGCAGAGGGAATAGCAATACAGACCTCCCTTGCAGTAGCGCTCCATGAAATGCAAAATCCACAAATCCGTGCTGTTTTGACCTCTAAAAGGGCGCTACATTCATATAATACATCGTAGGCAAACTGTAGCACATTCCGAGGCGGGCAGTGCAGATGATCAGCGGACTGGGAAACAAGTCCTATGAGACAGAAGGAACCAGGCTATGTTTAGCCTGGTAGAGAAAAGAAGACTGAGGGGGAGAGATAGGATAGAACTTTTCAAATACTTGGAAAAGTCGTCCTACAGAGGAACAGCAGGATCTGTTCTCAATCCTTCCGGAGCGCAGGGCATGCAACGATGGGCTCAAGCTACAGGAAGCCAGATTTAGGCTGAATATATCAGGGAAAATGTCCTAACTGTTATAGCAGTACGACAATGGAAGCCGAGACTTTGGGAGGCGGCGAGCACTCCAGTGCTGGAAAACGGGACCACCCTCTGTCAAGATCGGCTTCGATTTGGATTCCTGCCTTGAGCAGGGGGTTGGGCTCCATGGCCTTAGAGGCCCCCTTCCAGCCCAATTATTGTACGATTCCAAAAATAAAATAAAAATACATAAAAATAAAAGAACACATTAAAAAGACAACATGTGGTGGCAGCTTAAAGACTGTTATCTTTTAATTGTGAGCTTTGGTGGACAAGTCCACTTCCTCAGACATAAGAGAGAGATGTAACATGAGAAATATTTATGCAGAGATGCCGTGTTGGGTTGGTGGGTAAGGAAGTCCCTGGGTATTTCACAGCGGCCGGATTGACAGCCTCTTCGATAGACAGACCTACAGTGGACCCTCTACTTACGGAATTAATCCGTATTGGAACGGTGGCTGCAAGTCAAAAAGTCTGTAGGTCGAATCTCCATTGACCCACAATGCATTGAAAACCGATTAATCCCATAAC